CGCGCAACAGGTGACCCCCCGCCCCAGCCCTCGGGCCGCCCCACGTCCAACCCCCTCGTTCTCGTCTGGATCTTAACTACTGAGCGCAATGCTGAGCCATGGAGCCGGGTTGGCCTTGTGGATCGCACTGAGCCTGCTGCAGGTGAGTGGCCCGAGAAGGCGTCAGAGCTGATGCGCCCCCTCCCCGCCGAAAATCAAATTCCCACTCCACTTTCTCGTCTATCAGGTTGTGCTTTGGAGAGGGAGGTGGCAAAATTTCTTCTTCTGCCTTGGGAAGAATGATCCTCTGGTGAGCCCCCAACCCAGAATGACAGCTTATCCTGCTGTCAAAGCAAAAAGCCACCTTCTCTCTCCAGCTGCTCTCAAGGGACAGCAGCTAGGGAGAAAGTTGCCATCCACCTCCCCCGCAAGCCTTTTCTCTGGCCGGAGGGCAAAGGGACTAGCTGAGGCTAGGGACAAAGGATAAGTAGAAGGGAAAGGGCAGCTTAAGGAGCTTGCTGTGGACACGTCCCTGGGCAGTCCAGACCTGGGACTTAAACTGTTGTGTCTGATTCCTTTGCAGACTGGACTGGCGGAGCCAGAGAGATGTAACTTCACCCTGGCGGAGTCCAAGGCCTCCAGCCATTCCGTGTCTATCCGGTGGAGAATTTGGGGCTCACCCTGTAACTTTAACCTCACCTATAGCAGTGACACCCTGGGGGCCGCGTCGTGCCCTCCCTTTCGGTTAGACAACACCACATACGGATGTAACCTTCAAGATTTACAAGCAGGAACCATCTATAACTTCAGGATTGTTTCTCTGGATGGAGAAGAGAGAACTGTGGTCTTACAAACAGGTAAAGGATGACAGGTGCAATTGGATGGCCAAGCTACTCGGGGTTGGGCCCTGCCTTTTCAAGCTGGTGTTTCATTTGAGTTCCAGGGATACAAAAAATGAAGGTAAAAAATACCTGTGAAGATAAATATTGACAGAAATGTCTGGTTTCCTCAGATCTAGCCAGAAGCAGCTTGGTGGACTTTCAGAGACTCCCTTAGTGCTGAAAACAGCCAACTAGCCACTGAAAGGGTCGGGGTGGGGTGCGGGGTGGTCAGCAAAGAGAAACTTGGGGCTGCGGAGGGAATTTGTTAAAGTGATGTGGTTTACGCTTCCATCGCATTAAATTGTCAAACCCTGGAATAATTTTAAGTAAATGTTTTTAGAATAAATAATAGAAGTACAATATTAGGGATATGCCTTTCCTCAACTTAGTTTTATTTTTAGAACTGTACATAAAATCTGCAGGAATAGAAGGGAGCCATTCATCAGGGAAAATTAGAAAAGTCTCTTGAAATGAGGATATGAAAATTGTTTTGTATCTCTTGAGTAATAACCCAAACAGCATAGTATCAGAGAATGTCCTTTGATTACTTTACAGCAATTATTTTCCTTACACTTTTGCTGAATCCCTCCATGTGGATATGTTCAGAGTTTGTCTTTCTTGCCTCAGTTTTCTTAGCTGTAAAATGGGAGTGTTAGACTGGGTCATTCAAGTTCAAGTTCTTACCAAGTGCTCGACACTTAGGCATGGACTGTCATGTACATTACCTCATTTAGTCCTCAGAGCTACCCTCAGACGTGCTCTAAATTCTTTAACAGTTTTCATGTTTTCTGACTTCATTAGTCTTCATTATCTCTATTTGTTGCAACAGTGAATTCTTACTTTCATCCAGAAATTCAAATTTAAGTTAAAAATTTAAAAGTCAAATTTAGAAATGTGTTGCCCTTACTATTCTTTCATATTTCAACCTGAAACAGGATCATTTCTTTTGCTACAGTTCTTTAAAGAGGTGTTAGAAGTTTCAGCTCTAAAGCCAGGTGCAGCAGTTTTGGAGAATTTAACTGGGCTCATGTAGTAAGTCAGCTAGATATTAATTATCTTATTTTTTCAAAGAAAAAAATCAAAGTGCCCCATTACATCACTTAACTTACTTCAGATGAAACTTTTGGATAATATCTGAGATTTGCAGCAACTTAAGTTGAAAAGAAAAATCACTTGTTAAGAATCTGGTGGTTTCTCTGACCGGGCGCAGTGGCTCATGCCTGTAATCCCAGCACTTTGGGAGGCCAAGGCTGATGGGTCTTGAGGTCAGGAGTTCAAGACCACCCTGGCCAACATAGCAAAACCACGTCTCTACTAAAAATAAAACAAATAAATAAATAATTAGCCGGGCATGGTGGCAGGGGCCTGTAATCCCAGCTACTTGGGAGGCTGAGGCAGAGAATTGCTTGAACCCAGAAGGCAGAGAGGCCAGATGTTCCACTGCACTCCAGCCTGG